TCCAGAAACAGAGGACCCTAGGACCATCAAGAGAGGAACGCACAAATAGAATGCGGAACTTTATCCAGAGAAGCAGCAGTGCCAGAGATGGAGGCAGAGATGGGGCATGGAGAGGGGGAGCGGCTGAGGACTCTAGATTCATCAACTAAGATGCCTGAGTGGGTTTTTTTGTTTGTGTGTTTTTTTGAAAAAGCTAAAGTGGATAGAGAGAAATACTTTCAACTGATGGTATATTGAGGGGACTATAATCAATGTAATGAAACAAGTTATATGAATTGTTCAATGTGAAACTAATGATATGCCCTATAAACTTTCACTCAATCAATCCACAATAAAAACCTTCAATTAAAAAAAAAAGTAACAATGTTTCAACACAGAATTTAAGACAACATTCTATACATATACAGTGATTTCAGGATACAGCACTTGCGTGGTTGATGCCAACGAAAACTGCGATACAGCGCATTACACTGGCCCACTCTCTCTTAAACTTGTGGGGTTCTCCAAGGTGACTGTCGATGCAGGGGTAGAGTAAGCCTACAACAGCTGTCAAAAAAAGAAAGCAGTATTAAAACACCAGAAGTGATTTTTATGTGGTAGTTACTTAATATGCAGACTGTTAAACAAGCTAACAAATTAATCTTAGAAGAAATACAATCAGAATGTTCCTTAGAAGCATGGACGGCAGGACTGATTTGCTTACTTTGGACACACCATCAGGAAAGACCAACTACTACAAAAGGACAACATCCTTGGTGAAAAAGTTGTAGTTAAGTGCCTAACTCATAGGGACTCTCTTTAGGATTTCTGAGGAGCAGCTGGAAGGTTTGAACCACCGACCTTGTGGCTCTCTGTCCAGTACTTATCCTATAGTGTCACACCAGGAGTCGTCATTGTTATTAAGTACCATCCAGTCAGTTCCAACCCTGCTGTTCAAGCTGACCTTGTGGTCAAGTGCTTATCCTGCGCCACACCAGGTGTCCTGGTGAAGGAGAATCAGTGGAAACAAGGGAAACACTCCTAGAACTCACCCTATGAACTAAATAGATGGTCACAGTGGCCGCAATAATGGACTGAGACACCAACAGTCCTGGAGAAGGTGTAGGCCAGCACTGTACATGGGGTCACCATGAGTGGGGACAACTTCATGGCAACTGAACAACAACTAATAAAAGACTCAGCAAGTCCTTTTACCAGAAACTTGATCTGTTATAATATTCAAATTAAGATACTGTTTGTATTCTTATTCTTTGAGAAACAAACTTTTGAAAACTTTAATAAATATCACTGATATTTAGTTTAGTGAAACATGTCCCATTAAAAAGAGAAATGAATGTAGTATGGGTTTAATTATCCAGGGTCCTAAAGGACAAAAAAAACCAACCCTGAAATGTCTGAATTAATTAACCTGCTTTTGTTTTTTAAATCAAGTGTTGTTTCCATTTAAAATGAAAAGGGAAGATTCCATGGATATCTGGAAGAGCAGATTCCACATGTTCTTCCCATCCCTTACACCACCCAGAGCTGATGCTGGGCAGAGGAAGGACACTCCCATTTGTGGAATGGAAATATGATGATGCTGTTGTTGTTAATTGCCTTGAGTTGGTTCTGACTCATATCGACCCTGTATAAGGTTTCCAAGGAACAGCTGTTGAGTTTGTACCACCAACCTTGTGGCTCAAACTGATCTTGTGGTCTAATTCTTATCCTATAGTACCACACCAGGAAATATGATAGGCTGGGTCATAAGAGACACTCCTTCCACATGCTCAGAGGGTGGGATTGGTCTTCATTTTCAAGGAACTTAAAGCAGGCACCTAGTGTGTAACAATCCTGGCATTAAGTGCTATGGGGCTGCCATGGGTTGAACTGTGTCCTCCAATATGTGTTACAAATCCTAACTGCTATACCTGTTGATGAGTCCTGGGGTGGCGCTGAATGTTAAGTGCAAGGTCAGCAGTTCAAACCCAACAGCTGCTTTTGGAAACCGTATACAGAGTTGCTATGAGTCAGAACCAACTAGAGGGCAAAGAACAGCAATGTACCTGTTGACATAATCATATTTGGGATAGGGTTTCCTTTGTCATGGTGATTCTTAAACCAACCACATTTAAGATACAAAAGAGTAGATGAGGCACAGAAAGCAGTAAAGTCAGCGGGGAGAGGCATACTTTATTAAGATGAAGGAGGCAGACTAACCTACCAGCCCAGGAACTCCAAGTCTTGTTGGCTAGAGAAGCTGACACAAGACTTTCCAGTTTGGACAGAGAGAGACCCTTCCCCTAGAGCCTGCACCTTGAATGGACTTCTAGCCTTCCAAACTGTGAGAACATCAGTGTGTTTGTTAAAGCCACCCACTTGTGGGATCTCTGCTATAGCAGCACTAAGAAACTAACACAGGGCCATGTGAGAGAAAGGAGGAGACAAAGCTTCAGATACTGCTCTGGTATTCTTTAGTGATTCCTAGGTGTGAAGCCCTTAACTGTAGAAAGAGCATTGGACCAAGAATAGCATCTCTGGCATTTAATCCCAATTTGTCCTCTTAATAGGAAATGGCTTTTAATGGTTGTTTCGTCATGTGTAAAAGCTGAGGATTACTTAACTGGAGGACGGCGAAGAAAAGACCTTTGTGGTCTAGCACAAGTTGGAAGTTGGCGAATTTTAAATACTAATAGAACACGAAGAGAATTTGGACAGGTGGGAATACAAATAAAACAGTAAAAGACATTAATGAACAAAAGGGACATGGCAAATACTGGGAATATAGATCTAAACAGGATTCGACTATGGAAAAAAGGTTAGTGGTTTGGGGCTCTTGAGCCAGGCATAGTTTCACCTTTATATGGTGGGAGGAGAGCTTCATTACAGGTTCTTGAAAGACATACAACACAGAAAAAATGAGTTTCAGTCAAATGAATGAAAGATTTTCAGTTTCATATTAGGAAGGTTTTTTTGGGGGTTTTTTGAGTTCTGAAAAATGGAACCCAAACAATTTTATAATTTTGGTAATCATAATTTAATCTTACCTTTTTAGGTTAAAAGCTAAATAGGCAAAAATGTTATTATGGAATCAATTTTCCTTATGTTCCTGACTCTATTAGTTTAAAAAAATCTGAGGAATTTGTGTTTCAGATATTCCTGGAAGCACTTCAATTATAAATATTACAGTTCAAATTAAAATATTTTTCATTTAACTCAGGGAAGAAAGCAATTGTGCCAAGTGTATGAAAATGACATTTCAAATCTAGATCAATTTCTCACAAACATTAAAACATCCATTACCTTTTAATCCATTTTTTCACAAACTTTTTGAAGTGCTTTATAATGACAGAATTCCTAAGATATATGTAGCTGTTCTTGCTAAGACACGACACAGTGCTCTATTACAAAACACATTGCTTCTTACTGTTTAAATAGTCCACTGAGACTGTGTTGTGTATACACAGCACAATGCAGACACCTGTATCACAGGGAGGCAGCACAGAGTTGCAGAGAGAGGAACTGACTCTGGAATAAAACTGAGTTTAGATAATGGCTAGGGCACTTACTAGCTGTGTCCCCTTGGACATGGTTACTTAACTTCTCAGTTTTCACATTTGTAAAATGGAGTTAGAGCCCAGTACTGTTATACAGATTAAAAGAAATAAAGCCCATACAGCCTAGCAAGCAATCAATGATTTAAGCAATAGGTAAGTGTTGGCAACAACAACAAAAAAATATAAATGTACTAGTCATAGTATACTGTAGTTACTTACATACATGTTCCAACCAGACTATGGGACACTTAAAGGAGAAGAGCTTGCAGTATTCACTTTTGTTTTCTAATTTCCAACACATCCCGGCGTTGAGCCTATCAGAGCGCTTGGCAAATGTTTGCTAAATCAAGGAATGCTGTGTAGTTAGAAAAGTATTAAGTGATCCGCTGGGCCAAGATCAATTCAGTATTTTCATAACACTACCTAAATGATAATTTAGAAATTCTACTAAAGAAAATACAGTTTTCCTGTTGGCAATTAGACTTATCTTGTGCTGTTATTCATCTTTCTGACTGATTAGGTCTACTACACTCTACCTCGTAACAAGGGGTTTACTCTTTTCTTTAAGTACATAATCTATAGAACTTTCCAGGGTGACTTGGCGTCTGGCCACAGTTCACTTGGCTATTCTTGCAAAAGGAAGTGCTGAGAAGTTGCTCCCTTGGCAACCACCTCTTGAACACATGTGACGGATTTGTTTTCAGTTATCCAGCAGCGTAGCATGTTCACTTAGGCAGCCAATAGCAACGTGGTACTTCTGCTCACCAGTTCTGCAGGCGACCAATCATGGGGCGGCTACATCTAGCTGACAGCTGCTGCACTCTAGGCAAGGTTGTCCTCAGTCTGCCCAGACACTGCTAAGAGGGACCAGAACTCATCTGCTTTGGCACAAGCCATTTCTTTAACTCCCTGCATTATCTCCATTACTGGACTTCCTCAAACTTTTGAGACGGCTATTGAGTAGATGAAACATTTGGGGGTTGGAGGTCCTCACCACCCCACTTTCCTCTACCTAAATATGAAAACTGAAGATGCTCAATTTTAATCCAGATGATTTCATCTTCACATAAACATTTCTTGAAGGTTAGTTTAAAAAAACAACAACAACAAAAACCTGATTCTCTTTTATTTCTACTAAACAAGGAGCAGTTTACTTACCAGCTGCTGTCCCACAACAGGGAGGAACCCACCAGGCAGAAGAAAAGATTGTGGCAATTACTTCTTCAGGGAAAAGAGTGACATTCCTCTGTATCTGTAGTAGGTTGAGCACCAGAGCCAGGACAACTCCAACTGAAAACAGCACAAGGCTCCTCTGCACCAAGTGATGATGCCAACTGTTAGTGTGGCTGCTGCCCGTGCTGCAGCTGTGACCACTCACACCGGAGTTCGGAGGCCTGTGTCCAGGGCTGTTCCGGACACTGGGGTCCGCCAGCACAGAGGGACTGGAAGCAGACAAACTCATCATCTCCTCTGCTTTTGCTGCCAGCCCTCCAGCGCTGGCTCTTGAGTGTTTTTTGTACCTCTTGCTGGCAGGGCAGGAACAACTCCACAAGTGGTCGTCTAATCTGGGCATCAGTGCCCACCACAATCTGAGATGAGTTTCCTAGAGGGGGTAAAAATAGAAGGGAAATGAAATCCCAGTAAATTAACTGCAAAAAGTCCAAGAAAGTCAAGGAAGGCTAAGCTTTAATTCCTTTCAGACACTGAAAACTATACTTCTATTTGTCACCAACAAATATAGTAAACATAAAAAGTTCCTTAGGGAAGTTAGTTCTGACCAATGTTCTCTACAGTATCCGACTCCCACAGCTAACTTGCTCTGTGTTACCTCATCTGTTCCTCAGCCACAAAATGAATATATATATTAAAAAAATCTACCCACATATGCCAATTGAGTGATGCATAAGTTGCTTTAAGGCATGCAGAAGCAAAGTGTTGGATAAATATAATTGTTTCTCTTAAAAGAAACGAACCCTTTAAAAACTACCCGCCTACTATGCACCCCCTACTTTATATAAACCATTAAATGCTGGCTGATTCAATTTAAAAGTTTCCAAGACACGATTTACATGTGCCACGAAACTTTGAGAACTGGCGCAATAAAAACATCCCAGCTTCTCTGCTCCGGCAAAGCCCCTCAATCAGCCTTTCCCAGAAAAACTTACCCGGATCCAATCAGAGGGTCTGACGCGAAAACCGGTGCTCAGAAAGAGCAAGAACCGTTCGCTGTTTTAACCCGGCATTTGCGCGCACGGTGGCGCTTCCCACCCGCTGGGTCGCTCCGAGTGCCCTCTCCCAAAGGTCGGGGGCCCAGAGCATCAGTGCTTCCAGGACATTCATCACCGCCCCGACCGCAAAGTTCCTCCACCGAGCTCCTAGGCGGGGGATGCGAGGTCTTCCCTGGGCTGGGACTCCACGGCCCGCGCCCCCGATCGCCTGGGCACCGCTGCCCGCCCTGTCCCGCCGTACCTGTCGGAGGGGGCCCGCCAGCGGGCTGTCCGCGACGCAGAAGGCGGGGTTGCAGAGAAGGAGTTGCTGCGACCCAGACTAGCCCCAGAATTTCCCCAGCTCCGGAGAGCGGTAAAAGGTTTATATCGCGGGCCGCAAAGCCCCCGAATCACGTTACCCGGGCGCAGCCTACCCACAACGCCGCGCCGCCGGGCCCGCGCCCGGCCCGAAGGAGGCGGAGCCTCGGCCGCCCGCCC